GGAACGGGAGTGGTAATTTATAGAGAGTGCGCAGGGACACATAAGGCTGGTGGAGCTTGGCGTCAAGGAGAGAGGAGGATACAGCGCCGGCAACCAGAGATGCGGAGCGAGCGGTCCGACTGCTGCAGCAACAGGAGGCCAGATTACGCGTCTGCAGGGAATTAGAGGCGACGAGACGGGCCGGTGCCGATTGGCGGTTACAAAGAAGCGGCGGGCAGAGTTAAGAGCTCTGCCCACCCAGGGTAAGTCTTTTGACTTTCCCCTTTTAATGATTGAAAGCTGCCTAAAAGAGTAGTAACTGCCGCTGCCTCCCTTCCTTTAGCGCACCGGGGCGCAGAACGTGGAGAGGAAGGTGAGGACGCCGCCGGGTTTCCCTCCTGCACCGCTCCACTGGATTTTTAATTCTTAGTGACTCTTATATCGTGGCGGACGCCACTGGACTTTTAATGTTGTGTTTTATTGATTTTTATTGTGTTGTCCCCTGGCCAGGGTTGTTTTAATTCATTTTATATTTTTAACTATTTAAATATAATAAATTATATTTTAATTTTACAGTTTTAATTCGTGTGCTTTCCCTTGGCGGCTCCACTGCTCTGTCCGTTTGGAGGAAGGTTTCCCTCCTTTAAACAAACACTGTGAAAAACATCACCTTCGCTCCGTTACATGTTCACCAGACTATTCAACCTCTCCCTGACACATGCCTCTGTCCCTCACTGCCTGAGATCATCAACAATAGTCCCAGTCCCCAAGCCCACCACCATCAGTAGCCTCAGTGACTACAGACCCATCGCACTGACTCCAGCGGTTGCAAAGTGCTTCGAGAAGCTGGTCCTAAAACACATAAAGGACTGCCTCCCACCCAGCTTCGCCCCCACCAGTTTGCCTATAAGGCAAATAGATCCACAGAGGATGCAATTTCCACCGCCCTCCACTCTGCATCAACAGGAGAATCCTGGGACATCAGTAAGGATGCTCTTCATTGATTTCAGCTCGGCCTTCAATACCATCATCCCAGACTTTCTTATAGACAAGCTGGTTAACTTGGACTTTCCCCCTCTCTAAGTAAAGACATCCCTTTGGCCAGACATGATCATCACTTCTGAGGCCTCAAAACATCTGATCATGCTGGAACTCGCAGTGCCATGGGAAGAGCGGATCGAGGAGGCCAATGAGAGGAAATGTGCCAAGTATCAGGAACTAGTGCAGGAGTACAGGGGAAGAGGCTGGGAGACTTTCTGTGAGCCCATAGAAGTGGGATGAAGGGGCTTTGAAGGACGATCACTCTGCAAAGTCCTCGGCCAGGTGGGCGTGGCTGAGGCAGCCAAGAAGAGGGCCGTCCAGGCTGTGAGTGAAGCGCCAGAGAATTAGCGGATTAAAAGGGCTGATCCGCGGGTAGCTATTGGTATGCAAGTCGGAGCCTGATCACCCCCAGCTGGGTCGCCTGGGTGTATGATGACC